ATGTTACTTATAAGCCTCTACACTAACATGGTGGGTATTACCACTGTGTGGCTGTAAGTGCAGCCATCACATGAGGGCTCCTAAACAAAAGTATTATTTAGCCTTGACTTTATTTTACCTTATTCCCTTTTACTGTTTACATCCACCAACCAAAAGAAGGTCGTCAAACACAAGGCTCAGAGGCCAGAAGTGGCCCGGCAAAGACTCCAGTCCACTGGATGACATTGGAAAACTGTGAACTTTGGAATTTTCAAAACCTGTTTTACAGCTGTTCCTACTGATAAAAACCTCACACATGCCAATACATACTACACCAAATTAATTAAGTAATCGATAAATAAACCATTAGAAAACATCCTGTTTTCTCAGTCTAGAATAGAAATGTCTGTTTTTTACAAAGGGTCGTTAATGCATAGTTTGAAGATTGAAGTGTGGCCTGTGAGTTTGACATCCTTAACTTAGAACCTTATCTTAGAATTTGTTTAATAAGCTCTGTGCGTTATTATTATTGTTCTGTAGAAATGCACAACAGATCTTTGTGTTTTGTCCCCTCAGGTATCTGGATGGTAACCAGTTCACCAGCGTTCCCAAAGAGTTACCTGCTTTTAAATACCTGCAGCTTGTGTAAGAAACACTTGACTGAATCCTTCATTCACCCTCACGCGCCTCCTCACACTCAGTTTACCTACAGCTACATCTGCTACCACACATGCTTACAGCCTCTTATATTATATTGGCACTTTTCTTCTCTTCCACCAATGAAAACATCTACTACAGTGAAGAGTACATTCTAGGCGAAGCACTGAGGTTTAGATGGTGACCAGTGACCAGCCGAAGACTCGTACCTCATTTTTAAAAACAAAGGACGGTCAAAGATTCTCAACACACAGACTGAGGCACATTTTAGACCAGCTAACTAAATGATCCTGACAGTCACACACTGCTAGAAATGCAGCTGAAATCAGAAGCCAAAAAGAAGAAGCAAAAGTAACACTGGTTGCAGAGCAGAACCAAATATGAATTAAATTGTTTTTACAGATTTTTTAAAAGTTTTATGAAGAACATGTGACACTAATATCAATACCTTCAAAGGAAATTTGAGAATAAGGTTGCACATTTTGTATGTTTGAACACTTGTACAGATGTTACAAAAGAAGCTGCAGACAAACTCAGTGCTCAGCATCTTCTATTTGTATAGTCATCCAGCAGGGGGCGCTGTAGACTGTGTAGTGAATTCAGTAAAACGCGCACACAGCTGAGGATGATGTGATCGGTTCACTTTAATAATGAGCAGCGTTTTAGTTTTGTGTGTTACTGCGTTACAGTACGTGTGCTAGTGTCTTTGCGTCTGCATGTGTTGTGCAGTGGGACCTCTGCAGTACTCTGTGTGTACACTGACTCAAACTGACCTTTGCCTTTCCAGTGATCTGAGCAACAATAAAATCAACTCCCTGTCTGACGATTCCTTCTCCAACATGAGCCAGCTCACCACACTGTGAGTTCATACACACAACTGTTCTTGGTCAAGTGTTACAAGACAAATCAGCACATACACAAAGGGCATCAGAAAGATGTCAGCTCACTAAATCACTGCTGTTACAAAACAAAATGCTGAAAAAATGAATCGCTTTGAGAAAAATATTAGCTTATTTTCAATTTGATGGCAGCAATAAATCTGTTTACTACCGTGCAGCGTCCGGTCTGTCTGTAAACATGTGGAAACT